CAGGACGACGAGCAGCAGGAGGAGGTCCATGAACAGGAGGAGGAGGAGATTGGGGGTCTCAGTAGCAAGAGGCGGGAGGAGCGGATAGAGGAGGGGGGAGGAGCGGATAGAGGAGGGGGGAGGATGGCCATTGGCAGGATGGGGGGTAGGAAAAGGTGCACCGCGGTCGGATTTTCGCTGACACATCAGGAAAAATGGACGAAACACTCTGTTACGTGGATCCATAGTCACGTGGACGGTTTACACATGTCGGCGCATAACGCAGGGGTCACTTGCTCTTTGGTAGACCCCCCACCCCCGAGAAGTACTCTGCAAGCAGGATCATTTTCATTGAATTTCATATTTCATGTATCCTCAAGCTTCCACAGTCCCTGCCACATGGGCACGTGACCTTCCGTGCATCGCCCCTGTCCCAATTTCTGACCTAGATATCGTGCCATGTGCCTTTGAATACATATTGTGCCATGTGTCTTTGAAAGGATTCACAATGCAGACACCCAGTCCCGGTCCCAGGGTCCCAACAAGTCCCGAGTCCCAGGGCCGTCCCGTAGGGTAGGCTGTAGGGTCTAGAGGCCGAAGTGTCATACGCCGGTAGGTGTCGGTACCGATGCGTCGTAGGTCGGTAGGAGTCCGTGCGGTACCCTACAAGAAAAGTCCAAAAGCGTCCAGTCCAGCCCGACAGTCCCAAGTCCAATTTTGCAGCATGTCCCAGGAAAGTCCGGAAGCTACCGGACCGACAAAATGTTTGCAGCAGACAGGCCACGACCGACCGGTACCGGTCTGAAGCAGGCCAAGCCAAGCCAAGCCAAATGAAGCCAAGTCCTATATTTAGCTGCTACAGTGCAGCGGCTCATCACTTGTTCAGTTGCGAGATGCGGAAGCGCTGCTGCTGCTTGTGCGTTAAGGCAACTTTGGCACTGTGCGCCCGAAGAAGAAGACGACGCTTGTGAGATACTCCATAGCTAGGCTAGAGGTAGAGCAGGAGGACGGCGGCCATAGCCGCCAAGGTGTAAGCTACCCGAGTGGGTGTATCCAGGGTAACGATCAAAGTTAGTGGGAGAGAGATAGAGAGAGAGTGAGGCAGAGCGAGCCAAGTCCGACAGAGAAGCAAGACAAGAGAGAGAGAGAGAGAAGAGAGAGAGAAACGAGAGAAGCCATAGCCGCCGGCTTATTGGGATCCGTTGTGTGTGTGTGTGTGGCAGAGCCGCTGGAGACAAACATTCTTGTATATTGGTAATAATATTGGAGATGACATCTTCAAGTGTTGATTGTATCTCAATCTGGCTTCTCACGTGTGAGCTCTCATGTGAATGCTCATCGATATATGCGAGGTTGAGCTTGACGAGTACTTGGCTCATTTCAGAGGTATTGGAGCTGGTTCCTGCTGCATCCGCGCAGAGTTCAAGCGCTAGAAAGGAAGAAGGCTGGCGGGCGGAAAATATATATATCGTAAAACAGAATAGGTTCCTTGCGGGGCGAGGGTGAAGTTTGGGTGGTGGTCCCTGCAGTAGGTTGATCCCCATAACGAAAAGGACCTCTGAACCATAAGGTCAGGTCATGCATAGAAAAACACTCTATGAATCAGACGGTTCTTTCTCCTCTATCTTCCAATCGTGTGCTTGACTACCGTCTTCATCCAAATAGAATTCCCAGTCATTATCACTGTATCTAGACTGGACTTTGAACGAAACACAGCACCCGCAGGGGATTGAAAGAGCAGCGTGCTGCAGGATACCCGATTCTGTTGACATCAACATTGACGCGAGCTTCCAAATGAGAGGAGTGGATGTGTGCGACTGGACTGAATGAGCTGCTGAAGCTAAAGTACAAACTGACCAACAAGGGTTGCGCTACGCAGTCAAGAAAAATCGAGGTACGAATAGGCTATATTCTCCACATCTGGAATACAAAATATCACTCTCAGGTTTTGTCTGCCCTATCCATCGTATATCGTTATGTCCTCTAACAGCCCTAGGGACCCTGCTAAGAGTCTAAAGGGCTCAACAAAGTGTCAAAGGCTGGAACCTTGGACAGGAAGTGGCGAAGGTCAGCTTTTACCTTGTTATAGATCAATCGCACACCCCCAAGCCAAAACCAATGGCAGCTGCTATTCCGATCCCAAAGATCTGGAATGCTGCGCACATGACACAAGTATGCGTCCGACTTCCCTTCGACCCTTCCTACCTAAGCCCCTCCCATTCCCCCTCCTTTACTCCTTTGTGCAAACAAACGCATCTTTCTACTCTTTGTCCACTTTCTCCCCTTTCCTCCCTCCCTCCCTCCTTTCCTTCTTCTCTTCCTTTCTCCAACCCTCCCTTTTCCTCCTTTCCTTCCCCTCTTCATTCCCCTCGTCCGCACACTCACTCATGCATTCCCTCCTTCCTACTCATCGCATTCATTGCATTCTTGTCACTTGCCTTTCACTTATCCGTCATTCACTTGCCCGATTGATCATGGATTGCACCTGCACTATGGATCACATCACCACACACCCAATCCTATTTCCAGATGTCTGTTACTTGTTTTCTGAAAACGGCCAGCTTGTAACCTCTGGGTCAATGGGCCTGACAAGCCAGCTAAGGACAATCAACGATGGGTATAAGAACAGTCAACGATGAGTATCAGTGTATGCGATGTGACAGAAGTTTGTTAACGTATGCACAGGAAAACATGGCTCACGTTGTTAACGTATGCACGGGAAAACATGGCTCATATCGTAACATACAGGCAAAGCTGGTCCCCTTAGCTCTGGTGCGGAACATGCACAACCCAACTAAACAATATGGTGCATCTGGTATTTGGGACAATGAGCTTTTCATTCTCCAAATACATCAAATCGAACCCACGCGGAATGGAAAGCATGAGGACTTGGGTGAGAGACGAACCTGCCCCTCAACGTTGGTCTTGCTGACTCGCTCAGATCCTGCAAGATCGACCAGATGAAGCTTGGATCTGCGGACCGTATCTGCACCGTTTTTCCTTGCCTCAATTGATGCTGTGAATATGCAATGTGATCGACTGCTTGCCATGTTCATTGGCGTTGCACTAATCATACGGTTGGTGTCCCCAAGGAACAAAAGGTTGAGAGCTTCTTCTTCATTACTGCACGCGCACACACACACACACACACACACACAGAGGGAGAGTACACCAAGTTTAATGTCAGAGCAAGCCACCCCTGAAAATCGCCACTGCTCCATTACCGCAGGCCTTGATACAGAATATAATTATTCTCTGATTAGCTCAGACCAACAGGAAACATTTGAGAGTTCGTTTTTTTGAGAATTCATTTGCAGAAAGAATGCTGTAGAGGCCGGCAGACTTGGAAGAGACAAAACAGAGGCAGGCATCTAGAGGAACGAAATGAGGATCTCGCCAGAAACGTGTAGAAAACTCCTAGAAAACAGGTTCCACTTTGTTCCACTGCGTCGTAATGAGTAGCCCTTTAGGACATCCGTCAAAATGGGACTGACGCAGAGAAGATAAGCATTTGCCCCTTACACACGGATTGAACACACACAAATCGAGAAATTGACAACGGTCAAAATGAAAAAGAAAGAAAGGAAATAGGGGCAAGCAAGGCAATCTGTCAAAAGCTGTGGGCATGAGGACTTGCTATGTCAGTCTGACTGAAACCAGGTTTGACCGAGTGCTGCATCTCCATGACCGTCCACCCGTGGTCTGTCGCAACAGTAATATCAACCTAAATAGTAAATTGGTTACCTAAATAGGGCAAGTCGAGTCGAGTCTTTCCGTTATAGCAACCTATTCAGAGTTCCAACAAGCTGAACACCTAAACAATATGTATTATGTATGCATGACATTGCATGGCTAATAATTCGCATCATACAATGATAACAATCATAACATTACAATATAGAGAGTTGTGAAGTTTTCATAGTTTCCTACCTTACTACTCTTACGCGCTTTTCAAAAAGGCAAAAACTTCTAAGGCGGGTGATGAGGATCAAACTTGTCTACTCTTTGAAGTTTGGACTATATTCTAGCCTGCTGAGCGTTCTGTCACACCATCAGCATGCACAAATAGGTGACCGACATTCGGTGCAAGGCTGGCCACATTGATGTGGTTGAGAGAGTGAACCCAAGTGTAAGGCCGGCCACATTGGTGCAGTTAAGCATCATGTGTTGAACTTCAGACTCATCATTGTCATTGTGTATTAACATTATTGCTGGTCAAATTCTCCATTCATGGTCATTCTTCCTGTTCTTTCGATTCCACTTGATCTCCCTACTGCTAACAAATGTATGAATTCAGTTTACAACTTTACAGCTCTGAAAAGTTTGCCAATTAAAAGCGTGCATTTCTCGCCTTCATATTTTCCCTCCAGAGTTTGTGCCTTATTGCCTCAATTGAAAACATTCTACTGCTAGAAAACATTTCAGTACAGTTCAGAGTGATCAAGTGCTTGGCTTATTCAGTACCTGCCCTGGAGCCAAAAAGGCACACACAATTCACTGTCCATAAACAGATCATCAGTTCAAATCCGGATGGAGACAATAAAGTTAGGGGCTTCCCCCCTTTAAAAACATAGAAACAACGAGAAGCAGCAGTTACCAACGATGGTCAGGGATCCTTTGGCGTGGATGGAAGGATGCATTGAGTGTTATTATTGTATAATTTTTTTCACTTGCCGGCAGAGTTGCACAGGCCGACGGTCGGCAGCCCCTGAAGGGCAGCTGCCAACCAGCCGACCGGTCGGCAGTCAGCGACAAGCCCCCCCCCCCCCCCCAAAAAAAAAGAAAAAAAGAAAAGGCGAGTTCATAACCCCCAACAACCCCACCAACACCCCCATACACCCCCCCAACACCCCTAAACTGCCCCCCAACACCCTCATCCCCAAAGTTTCTCAGCGGATTTGGGTTGTACTCAGCAAGCGCAGTACAGCCCCATAGTCAGATTTGAAACAAAATCAATTGATGGCTGTTTACTGACTGGTCGGCAGACCGCCGACCGGTCGGCCCTACGGGTAGGCTGCAAAACGGTCGGCAGTCGGGGTAGGCGGTCGGTGGGTATGCAACCCCGCTTGCCGGTAGAACGGAACCGAACTGGCGCTCCCCCGAGTGGACAAGGAGCCAGAACCATAAGGACCTGTCTCACTGAAAAAAGAAGACAGTTACCAAGTCACCACCGGGCCTAGCTCACTTGGTACACCCATGAACTGTTGAAATACAGACCACAGTTCGAATCCTGCTGGAATTAGATAAACAAAATGAAACGAGTGATTGTAATTCTGAATTACCTACGACCGGTCAGTTTGACAATGACGTCTGAAGGACGACACCCATTTAAGGGAAAAAGAAACGGAAAAGAAGGGGGAAACAGGAGTAAGAAGATGAGAGAAAAAAGGAAAACAACTTTAAACAAGAAGATATCAAGCCATGTCGCTGAATGGTACACCCGTCGACCGTTAATAAAACAGACCTGAGTTGGAATCCCACTGGAATAAGATCACTCTGCATTGGCTGGGGGCCGGTCAGCTTAATGATAACACCTCAAGGCTGTCGCCCCTTTAAAAAGGAGGAAGAAACAAAGAAAAAGAGGACAACAAGAAGTTTGGCTTGTTCGGGCTGAGAACAGTACAGTGGTAGTGACACTTAGCACACTATGAATACCAAAGAGGGAGTTTGAGGGAGAGAAAACCTGCCGCTTACGTGGCAAGATGCGCTGACATGTTGCGGAGATGGATCCTGTTTTCTTCATCCTCCATCAAAATAACCTGGCAAAAGGAAAAGCCACATGTCAAAATTGAAAACCATGCTTACTATATCTTAGTGCATACTACATTACAACATTGAGCAAGAAGATCGTGGACACGCACACCATCTTTAAGTTCGTAAATCATACTTTATTACTTTCAGAAATTAGAAGAAAGTAGAAACAGTCCTAGAAACACCAACTGGCCTAGCTCAGTTGGTACACCAATGAACTGTTGAAAAACAGACCGAAGTTCGAACTCCGCAAGAAACAGATGAGTAGAATCTACAATTCTGAATTACCTAGGGCCGGTCAAGGTTCCTCTTTTACAGCCAAAGCCCAAAGTGACCCCAAGTGACCCCAAATTTTCTGGGGCCTACAGGGTGTCCCAGGCCTAGCCCTTAAGTCTACCAGGTATAGGGGTGACTTGGGGTCCACTATAGGCAGTGATCCACATGACTCATTCTCGAATCACAAGTTCACAACTAACCCCGAAGTTCCCCAACGTATTTTGCTAAATCTGTCCTTAGCCCGGCACTGGAGATGACATATGGCAGAGGTTGGTGTCATGGGCATAACAGACGCTTGCTGTCAGGATCCCAATCCAACAGAAAACTGGAGGTTGGTAGTCGTGGACCCTCATCTGCCCTGGGTGTCCCAGGCCTAGCCCTTAAGTCTACCAGGTATAGGGGTGACTTGGGGTCCACTGTCGGCAGTGATGCACATGGCTCATTCTCGAATCACAAGTTCACAACTAACCCCCACGTTCCCCAACGTATTTTGCTAAATCTGTCCTTAGCCCGGCGCTGGAGATGACATATGGCAGAGGTTGGTGTCATGGGCATAACAGACGCTTGCTATCAGGATCCCAATCCAACAGAAAACTGGAGGTTGGTAGTCGTGGACCCTCATCTGCCCTGGGCGTCTTCTGGGCCGCTACTGACCTGACCCACGGCCCCCCTTGTATACCAGTGCCATTGGCAGAAGGTTTCAAAGGCAGTAGTGCCTTAACAGCCTAAGGTTGTACCTTCAACCTGTTCGTTACCTCCTACACGTGTCCTATGGATATCCCCGTAAATAGGAACAAAAGAGAGAAGATTCGCATGTCCACTGACAAAACCAGAGAAGATCAGCATGGTCCCTGCACAAGTATGACACACTTAAATGGAGAAATGAATCAAACGATCCTATTCACAAAAAAGACCAAAAAACAGTGCACACACTCACACATTGGCCTGTTTTCAGGTCTGATAGGCATCTTAGGAATAAGACCTTTAGGTGTAATGGATCTGGAGACCCCGTACGGTCAGGTCCTACCTACCCCTACCGAAAGCGTTGCATACAAAAGTCCAATTACAGCAATGCATCAACATCTTTTTCACTCAAGCTTATTGTGGAAGCGCTACTGCGGCCTTGTGCAACCGAGTACCGAGTGAGACTGGAAGTGTGCAATTGAGTAGCGGTAATCAACAGCGTTGGGCACCCACCATAGCTGTAGGGGTGGAGGGGGGGGATGAGAAACAGAGAGAGAGAGAGGGAGAGAGGGAGGGAGGGGGAGAGAGAGAGAGAGAGAGAGCAAGTCCTGAGGGTAGAATAAACACAGAGAGAGGGAGAGGAAGCAAGTTCAGTCTTGGTGATTGTTTCTGGCGTCCGTAGCTGCCAAGTGTGTATGAGCTAACCTGTTGCATAAGGCTTCAATTCTTGATCAAATTTCAGAGTTCTCATATCTCACGGTTGGTTTCTCCGTGAGATTTGTGTGCTCTGAGGAGCTGTCTGAATTGTGGGCCAATAATCATTTTGTACCCTATATCCCAATCCCTAAGGTTAAAGTCTTCACATGTATGAGATAGACACTTAATGGAAGGGCTTCCTTTTCAATGATAGGTTTCTTTCTAGTATCAGAATCTTTGTAGATCGATGCAGGATAGCATAATGGTATCCACACTGTTTCATAAATGGTTAGACCATAAGGCAATACATCTCCAATCAAGGCTGACCAAAGCCGGGCTAACCGGGAAAGACTTTTCCCATTTTAAGTTTTAAAAGCTAGCCACAGCCCAAGAAATGATGAAAGAGATGGAAAACATCACAGGGGGGGCGTTCCAGGACGAGTCCAAAGGAGATTTGTTTCAGCTACTCCTGAAAAAGCAATTAGTCACAAGCAACAGGGTAGCACTGAAGTTCAAACAAATGGCATTCGGAAGGAAAGGGAGGGAGGAAAAGCTGAAAGGAGATAGAAATGGCTTTAACGAGAAACCCAGGATCGACCATGAGTACAGAACTCTCTGATAGAACTGCAGGGTCACCAGATTCGAGCAAGGGTAACGGATTGCCGGGACGTAAATGGCTGAATATATCTTTCAGTCTTCAGAGAATAAAAGCTAACTCTATGAATACGAGCATTGTAAGTCTATGGGATAACGGCAATAAAATTGCAATTGAAACAACTCTCAAGTCTCAACTCCTTAATACTGCAGCTCGATCTTTCCAGGATTTATACGCTGTTCGCAAAAGACAAGCAGGCGGGTCGAGCAAAGTTAAACGACCAGTACCATACTTGCGGCGCATCATGTGCACACGAATTGCGCACGTGCATGCACGTGATGCGGTGCACCCCAATAATTAGGGTTGATTAAAAAACTTGGAAAGGGCAGTCTGTGGTAGCCAAATGTGCCCCTCCCTTCTGAAAAAATTGTACGCGCACAGAAGAAAAAAGACAATTGGAGCCACATCGTATTCCTCATTGGATCCAGTCTCTTTTCCAAAGGGACCCCAGCGAAGAAACAGTAAGGTCCCTTTTTTTAGCAGCGACGTTCATCAAATTTCGAGTATGACACAAGCAGGCCAGCAATATATGCTCTGGATTCCAATTCAGGTCTGTGGTCAAGCAGGTTATGTGTTACTACTTCCTACAGTAGCACTCTCCTCTTCTTTTTGTTTTCCTTTCCTTACGTGCAGTGGCCCTAAGGGCCTCGCTCCACTAGTCACCAATTGCACAAAAGGCAAAACATATGGCGGCGTATGGTCCCATGTTCTAGCAGAAGATTCATTCTAGTTTTGCACATTTGGTGAGTAGTGGAGGGAAGCCCTGAAAATCACGTGCTGAATTAGTAAGTTAGTAACCCATAACTGCTGAAACACGGATCTGAATTCGAATCTACATTATATATAGTTGGCCTGCTACTTCACTACCATAAGTCCAAAGCCTACCTCTTTCTTGGCGGGGTGACCCCTGCTAATTATCTGCAGGGGCTTTTCAGATTTTTATGTGAAAGGGTTCTTTGCTCTCTCTCTCTCTCTCTCTCTCTCTCTCTCTCTCTCTCTCTCTCTCTCTCTCTCTCTCNTCTCTCTCTCTCTCTCTCTCTCTCTCTCTCTCTCTCTCTCTCTCTCTCTCTCTCTCTCTCTCTCTCTCTCTCTCTCTCTCTCTCGTGTATACACACATCACAGTCGCTTCTTCTTCTTTTTTGTGTCCATCAGCGATGAGAGCATCGCGCCGCACGCACCGCACCACACATATGCGCCACAAGTATGACCAGTACCTTTCCCACATATGGGCCGCCGGCCTGAATTTGCTCTGCGCGCCGCAAAAAAACGAAGCGGCACGGATGTATCTGGCCGTCGCCATCAGCCATTTCGCGGCGACCCTGCACTTCCGTGTTATACGCCGAGCTTTTGTTTTCCAAGCGGGGAAAGGTACTGGTGGTTTAACCAGGCAAGAGAGAGATTTCTGGGCTATCTAGACAGGTTCTTGACAGAGGAAACAGTAAGCATCACAGAGAGACCCATCATGCTAAAGGAGCCACATGATGCTCTCACCTCCATGAATCTCAACAAGGCACTTAAGACAGATCGCTTGCCCAAGGAGTTTTGGACCGCAAGCTGGAATTGGCAAAGACATACGCTTCCAAGCTTCTTAAGAAGAGCAAGGGAAGATGAAAGACTAGGACCTGAATTGAGCACAGACGGTAACTCTCCTGCACAAGGAGGGTTATAGTAAGACCATCAGGAACCCGTATCGTAATACCATCATGGACATAGGCTTGCCAATATCCTTTTCTTTTTCTTATCTTTTTTTTTTTATAGTTTGGACCGTTTGTTGATTTCTGTGTGTCATCCTTGCACAGGAGCCATGGTAATCTTCTCTGTACCGTTCAAATTTTAACGAACGTCCCTGAAGAGCACAGGCCAATATCCTTACTGAGGGTAGCCTATAAAACTCAAGCCAGACTCTCAGCTACCATAATTAGAAACATAACAAACAAATGCTTCCATCCAATATGCCAAACCCACTTCAAACCAGGGAGGTTTATTTTGGATAACGCTACGACTCTACGCGAAAAACGGGTATCGGCAGTAACCCTATTTTCAAAAGCATTCTGAGTCTAAGGTTTGGGGTTGGATTTAGGGTTTAGGGTTTCACACCTGTGATGCAAGGTTCATAGCTAAGGTTTGGGGAGAGGGGGGGTGAAAGTTGAGGATTTTTCCAACTCACCCGAGGAAGATCCTCCAGCGACTTTGTCTCATGGTTTGGATCCAGGAGGTCATAGCCCGTCTCATTGTAAATTTCGAGGTAGGAGAAATATATCGCATACGTAGTGTCGCTCCGGTTGCTGATGTCAGTGAACAGATGCGAAAGGGCCCTTGGAATTATACCCCTATCCACATACCTCTCGGCTCCCCCTGTCATTGTGAATGTTTTTCCGGACCCTGTCTGGCCATATGCAAATATTGTGCCGTTGAATCCGTCAAGAGCTCCTTGGACAACCTATACAATCAGTCAGGCGAGAGAAAGGCCAATCAGAATCCAAATAGACACAGCAGAAAGCTACTCGCCTAACGTTGCCGAATGGTACACCAATGAGGAAAGGCCAATCAGAATCCANCCGAATGGTACACCAATGAGGAAAGGCCAATCAGAATCCAAATAGACACAGCAGAAAGCTACTCGCCTAACGTTGCCGAATGGTACACCAATGAGCTGCTAAGTTTTTTTTTTGTGTGGCACTCCAGGTGGGACTCGAACCCACAATTGCCTGATTAGAAGTCAGAGTCCTCACGGTATCGAAGGAGTAACATAACTCAGAATTATTTAGGGATGGTCAGTTTGATGATGATACCTCAAGGCCATTGCACTTTCTTCCAAAAGAAAAGAAAAGAAAATAACAGAAAAAAAGGACACTGTAATGAACCCAGTCTGGTAGATACTCAGAAGTCGTCAAGGGACAGCTGCTCGCACGTGCAATACCACAATGTCTAGACTTGCGGTATTACAGCGCGCGTTAATAAACGCGTTTCGTTTTGCACATGCGCACTTTCCACTTACCTGGGTGCCACATCAGCACCTGACGGCAGACAGCAGATTGCGATGAAAGAAGTTTGCTCCAATACCAAATTGTAATGAACCCAGTCTGGTAGATACTCAGAAGTCGTTAAAAATCAGTAATCTCAGTACCTGCAACAAAGTCTCCAAATCGTGAAGTGATATCTCAAACAGTATCTTATTACCATTAGACGAAGAGAGTGGAGGGGGAACAGACAGAGGCGAAGGTGGAAGAGATGATAAAAGATCTCACAAGAGTAAGCCCGTCAAATCCCTCTCCTTCTCCGGGCTTCTTCCATCTCCACGTCAACAACCAGTAGATGATAACAAGTATAGTAATCCTGATCACACACAGTAGTGTCAAGTGGCACTTAATCTTGTGAAGACCATGAAGACATAGCAGATTCCAGTGACGACGTCAACTTCAGGTGAGTACCCGATCTCCTTCTTCCACAGATCCCGATCTTCCTCCTCCTCGCAACCAGTCACCTCATGTAGACAGCATGGACAATGCCACTTCAGCAGTCGAGACAGGTGGCATATGCCACATCATCAATGAAGACCAGTGGCAGCGCCACATCAGCAATG